ATATATATATAATTTAATTACAAGGGGAAAAAGCAACAAAATATAAACAATTTCTTGGTTTTATATAAGCATTTCTGCACATTTACAATTTAAATTTTTTTAACTATCTAGTTGTATCAAAATACATGATTTAGTAAAATATAATTCAAATAATTTAAGGTTTTTAGATCAAATACTGAATTTTCATTAAATATTTTCATGCAATTCTAATAATGGACATAACTATCAAGTTTTGACTTAGAACATTATGTTTAGAGAAACGTGAAGCTGCAGTAAATAGTAATAAATTTACTCAAAGAAAAGCGAGCATTCTTACTTGAATTTATTTTCTTTCTTTAATTATGGCAGATCTTTTAAAACAACAAAACTCAAACAAACAAAAAAGAAATGCATTCATGAAATGACTTGAAGAAAACTTCATATATATTTCAGTAATTACAAGTGCATAAAAATTCAGTATATATATATAAAAAAAAAAAAAAAAAAAAAAAAAAAAAAAAAAAAAAATGAACACAGATTTGGAACAAAGTACCTGTGTTTCTATGGCATAAAATTTCCTTTTTTAATAGCACAATATCTTTGAGTTAAAGATTATATATTAAAGCAAATTTATAAAACTAAATTCAAAAATAAGAAATTAAATTATTTTTAGGGAAAACACTAAGCAAATAAAAAATTTTGAATTTCATAAATAAATGAAAGTTACATGCTTTATTTTTTGGCATAAGGTAAATAACATTTCCATAACAGATTTCTGAACAATTAGTCATGTTAATATTGCCTTTTCTTTTCCATTAAAAGCTATTTCCTGCTTAATTACAGTATGCTTTAAGATAAATATTAAAACGTTTGAGTAAAAATAATATAACTATAAAAAGGTGAGACACATACAAAAAGGAGTGACACAAACAGTAAGAAACAGACTAGTGCAAAATTTAACAGTACCAAATCCTGAAAATGAATCATTAGGCACGTACACAAAAGAACAACACATGGAAATCACATTTCCTACACAGACGCTATTTATAAAATTTTATATAGGTGAAGAAAAGTACGAGTATTAAACACTGAAAATATAAAATATTCACTTACTTTCTTCAAATAATTAGTAACTTCGATGGATTCAGTCACAAACGCCAATCCACGAACAACAGTATTCTTTGCGACTTTACCATTCTTTTCGACCGCCATTGCTGAGTGGCTGACTTCACAAATATCCCGCCACAACCGGAAGTAGAAAGTGTCAGCTTTGCCATTGGTCAGTGAACAAGAATTCCAACGCTTTTTTTTTTTTCTTTATAATTAAACATATTAAGAAAGCCTCTAAATTAGCATATGAAATAAACTTACTTTTGCATTATATAAATTTATATTCACAGCATCTCTGTATTAAGGTAATAATTAAATTTTTCTACGAAAAATAGAAATGTCTGTGTATGCGCATGCTCAGTGTATAATCGTAAATCCGGTTAATTTTTATAAGTTAGCGTAAAATTAACTATGCAAATTTTTGAGTTCATTTAACTGGACCCTTGTACTTATTCTGTAGATCTCCATATTAAGAATGTCTTTAATGTTTTCAGGAAAAATATAATATATTATTTATTTACATTATTTATTAATTTTTTCCTCATATAAAAATTATTAAAATCGCTATATCATATTTTTCCGTACATTAAACAAAATTTAAAAAATTAGCCTCATATGATTTTTATAACAAAGATTAAAGGAACTGAAATATATGTAAAATATCAGGATTCAGCTTGCAATTTCGTAGAGTTATTATTATTATTATTAAATAAAAATATTAGTATATCTTTGATTATAATTAATGATCCTTTGGTCTACATTAAACTATTGTTCAAGAAGTTAAACGTTTTCGAGAATCTTCTGCTGTATTTATTATTCTATTCCTCGACATGAAAGATTTGTTAGTGTTATTCCAATTTAATTGCCCACATTTGCTAAATAAAATAAGGCGAGTATTGTACCAAACTCAGTAAGTACACAAATTTAATATACAGCTTATTATAGTTAAATGGGTAATAGGATTTTCATAAAAGAAATTAAATTGTGTAAATTAATGTAAGTGTTGATATGAATAAAAATACCAAATTGATATAAGAAATAAATAAGTTATTTTGAAGATGTTAGAATTAAAAAAAATATAATTTTTTCCAAAAATGCACGTAAAGATTTAGCTCACATGTTAAAATTTATAGAAAAATTTTAGCCTCATATATGAATGCCCCTTTTTTCATGTTCGTCGACAAGGAAAACAAAGTGAAATGCCAGAAATACACTAAATATTTTGAATTAATAAACTCCATTTTCAATCCTTTTAGACTTCGTATAATATCCGTAAAAGTGACGAATGAAATATACCATTAAGGCAGTAGTTTCTTTCAGAACATTCGGATTCGTATAATATGCGTAAAAGTGACGAATAAAATATACCATCATGGCGGTAGTTTTATCAGTACATTCGGATTCGTACAATTTTCGTAAAAATAACGTGTGGAAAATAACGATCAAGAGTCAACAGTAACTTCAGCCTTTTTCATTCGTATAAATTTCGTAAAAGTAACGTGCAAAAAATACCATACCCTTATTTCACCAAAATTATACGTATATTTTTGGAGACGTGCTGCCTGGGTGAGTTCAAGTAGTTGCTTCGGAGATTCGAGAAGGGTTACAATATCCTTTTATTCACTCAAAGAAATAATAACAGATGGTCTCTTCTCGAGCTTGCGGGAAATCCTCCCCTTGGGCCTTTAAATCAGGATAAAAAAATAAAAAAAAATAATTTAATACTCAACTAAATAGACTTAATCGAAGCTAGACACAAACACCTAACCTAGTTGGTCCTTAAATTAACCTAGCTGACGATTTTCAGCAGACACGTGCAAACTATTATTAAGGAGAAAAGATAAAATAGTTTTCCAAATGACTTTCTTTCTTCCAGCATTAAGCAACAAGCTTTCATTATATCGAAAATAAGCAAGTTTTATAATATTGAAGCAAACAACCCATCATAGATTGGTAAAAACTTTCTCTCGTGTGTTCTATTTTTATTTGTTACGAACTGGGTTTTACTGCCAGCGAAAAACAACAATTAAATTTAGAGGTATATTGAAAACGAAACATTAAAAACAAAAATTTTATCGGACCCAAACTATGGCATGAAAAATTCAGCTCTTATTTACTGACGGCTCTTGATAAATAACAGCACGGCTTGAAAAAATTCCCCATTTGGAAGCAAGGCAAAAACGTTTGATAGTGACATAAGTTACAGTTTGTAAAAAATCACGGAAATTTAATCTTCATGCTCACATAACCAAACACTTCAAAACCTGCATCTTAGGACATTTTGTTCAATCTATCTATCGTCACATTCACTAAAATAATTTAATGCCTTTTTACAAATATATACTCCATTGTATCGTTGCATGTGAAGAAGACGGATAACGCAAATCCTCCGTAGGACGCAAGAAATGTAGTTGATCACCAGAATCAATCACAGAAAAATCTAAAGCAGCTATCAACAAACGAAATGCACAATAGCTAAATAACTGTAGACTCTGAACTAACTGACTAACGACTGCTCACAGCATCCTGTTTGTCAAATTGTTCAAGGAAAGAAAAAGTACTTTAGGAAGTTAGGAGAAAATTCACTCCAGGGTTTCACAAACGTGTTTACTGGAAACATACTAAACGTCACCAATTTAGTGAGAAATCGCCAAATGTCGTGAAGGTCTGGTAAGTAGGTTTCTGTCCATATTTTCTTGTTCTAATTCAGCTATCTTCAAAATTCAAACGTCAGTGGATTCAAAAGGGAAAGAAGTGTCCTGAAATTTACAAACGCAAGCGCAATATATAAATATTAATTGAAAATAAATAAAATACCCTATAAATAAACATAAAATTATTGCACAAAATGCATAACACGATACACAGCACTACAAAAATACGTAAAAAATTTACAGTAATATTTTATGCCAGTCGTATCAAAGGAAAAATTAAATAAATAGAGAATCAGTCCATTACTATTTACTCTAAAAGTGATCTGAATAACAGAAGTCCAAATAAATAATTTCAGTTTCCGTGAAACTCTTTGGAAATATGTTTTTTTTTTTTTTTTTTTTTTTTTTTTTTTTTTTTTCCCAGATACCTGAAGGAGAGGTGAAAGCTCTATGTCTGCAAGGCCCAGCAGATGCGGCTTTGTATGTGGGAACAGCAGATGCTATACTCGATGGTTCCGTCCAGAGTTCGTTTCGGATTTTGATTCAAGTGAGTTAACAGACGTCAATAATCTTATGCTTTGTCCTATACCTCAACCATTGCTAAATAAAATTTTAAAAAATGCTTCCCTTGAATTATAGAGACATTAGGTATTTTTGGAAACAGGCAAGATGAAAAATGGGCAACGCCTTCGCCAGGAATCAAACCGCGGACCTCTGGAATACGCACCCAGCGTGCAGACCACCAAGCACGAAGGCATGCTAGGAAGGCGGGAGAATGCCTTATATATTATAAGGGCCTTCATTCCTTGTTTAAAGGCAACTGGCCTTTTTGAACTGCACTATGCATTCCATTTATAAAAAAAAAATTAACTGCACTCCATTTATATGTCAAAAATAATTATATGAAAAAATTATAAGTAGGAAGCCTTCAAAATTTATATCTTGTGATAGGAGAGTATAAAAGAAACAAATAACAGAGGTAAAAACAGGGCCTCTGTTTTGAACTAGTATGCCCTTTCTCATCATACTTTTATCTTTACATGCAATTATTAATAATTACAGCATTCATTTACCATAATTCCAAAGAAATTTTAATTCATTTTACTCTTAAATAAATTCTCATATAAATTTTATTGCGATTATTCAATTTTTTAAATCTTTGGTATTTGCATATTAATTTTCTTTAAGATGTAATCTGTATAAAATTGAAGGGTGCATAAAGCACCCACAGTGATGATGTGCATTATCAAGGAATAAAATTATGTGCGGGAGTAATTGTTATGTGTGTTCATCGAGTGTCATCTTGCTAACTACACAGTTATAAATACCAAGAATCATCGTCAAATCCGTTGCAACTTACTTATTCCACCAAGTCATCACAGTCATATTGCAAGAAATGGTACAGCCGGATTCGAGCTGTGAAGTCTCGAACCTCGAGAATTTGAGGAATTTCCAATCTTTATTTGCATGCATATAAAATCATCTTAGTCGATATTTATCCAATCATAATAAATACAGTAAATATCTTTTACTGTATTTTATTATAATTAAAAGTAAGATGTAGGCATCAGACTGAGAAGCGAAGTAGCACGAAGATGTTAGGAAGGTAGAAGGTAGGGAAAGGAATGACGTAGTTTATTGTGCCAAGAGTATCCATACTAAGTCTGATGTATAAGTAAAGCTAATCTGTGATTGGTTAATTTTAGGTTGTTATATAACATGGAGGAATCTCAGATTTGGAAGGACAGATGAATTTAGGAAATCTAGAATAGTTATTTAGAATATAGCATCAAATCTAGAATAGTTAATTTTGAGGTCGCCAATTATTCTTAAAGCAGCTATCGTATTTTCTTATATCTTATATATGTATACAGTGAAAATCGTTTAACCTGAAACTGAAGGGACTGGAATATATTTTCGTGTTAAAGGTTATTGAAATATATATATATATTCAACCAAATTAAGTTTATTAGAGCACATTTTATTTACATAGCATAGTATATGCATGTATTTAAAAAAAATCAATGAAACAAAAATATCTACAAGAACTTGATGAAATTTAAATACAAAATTTTCAAATTTTTTGAAAACAAAACATTTATCGAGTTTTTGTAAAATAATCCGATAATTTTTTTTTTTTTTTTTTTTTTTTTTTTTTTTTTTTTGCATTGTCTTTTTTAGCATCAGCTTGTTAACAACCTAAAATTCAATGTCGATGTCGTCCATTTTGCTATTCATTTCACCATTGGAAACTTGAGGCTAAATAACTGCGCATACTTTTTATGATGTTCCTCATTTCGGATGACGTGGGAACAGGAGCAGCTGCATTATTCGTTTCATTTTCGTCTTCAGAATCTTCGTTAATGATATTTTTTTAGCTTTGAACAAACTCCAAAATGTCTTTGTCTGCCATAATTGGGGCTGTACACATGATCATCAACTAGTGCAACGAATTCTTTCAGTACTACAGTAGGACAGTCTATTAATGCCGAAACTTTCTCAAACATTTCATTAAGGGTGTCGGCTCAATTTCAATATCCTCCTACATTTCTTTTGGCGCCAAAGAATCTGATACTTTTGAGAATCGCGCATGCTGAAAAAATTTTCATTCGTCCTTGGAGTCACTGAATTCCATGCAGCGTGCAACATATGAACCAAACTCACACTGCGATGTACTCGTCACCGAATTCCAAAGCCAACTGATGAGAGATCAGATGTTTGTGTGGCGTTTGTAAAGAGGTGAAAGTAGCTTAGACAGGGTTCATAGCCACATTTTAGTTAAAAAAATAAGCACCTATAAGCACTTTTCAAGAACATTTTAAGAAAAAAATAAGCACTTGTCTAATTACATTATACACAACTGCATAACCTTAAAAATTAGACTTGTAATTTAAAATAATGAGAAATGGAGTATTTATTAAGAGAGAATAAACATTACCTCAACCATGGAAAATATTTACTTTTTTTTTTTTTTAAATTTTAAATAACAGTCCAATTTACAGAACTAGTTTACAACGAGAGGAAAAAAAAAACTATGCAGAACTAAACTATATTTCAAGATTTAATGATGAAATTTCAGTTCAAAATAGAGAAAATAAATAATAATAAGGAATATTCATTGTATTCGCTTGGAACCAAATAATAAATACAATTCATTTTTCCACTCATATTGATATTTAAATAATTTAAATCTAAATTCTGAACATTTTCTAAATTTTCATTGTACATCAGTTTTTCCTTAACAGATATTGCAAGCAAAGTAATTTAAGTAAAAAAGAGGAACATTTCTGAAATCAGAAGACAGAAATTTGCTTCATGCAGTCATCCTTTAACAGTAAAAGCTCAACTAACATGCACACTTGGAAATTGGGGAATATTCGAACAGTCGAGCGTAACTTGAAAAAGAGGAGCGGAAGGGGCGTAGACTCATTAGATTTCTTCGCTAAATAAATGCTTTTGACATTTTTATATATGCATCATATAAAAATAAACCAATGGAACTAAAAAATATTCTGCTTAGCATGCACAGTAAAACTCTTTTAAGTGTTCATAAACAAATCTCAGACAGAACATCAAAATTAATTATCTCTGCAAGATATCGCAAACATTATTGCGAAATACGTGCGCCGTAATTCTTCCCTACGTGATATTACGCAATCCGTGATATTACGCAATCGAAATCAACAGCTGCTGGTATTGGGAGAATAAAGAACTAAATAACTGGGGTGTTTTTCATTCTAATTTTCAACAGACAGCGTTAAATTTCCGGAATAGAATCATTCTTCGCTTGGGTTGGTAGACTGCAGAACTTTTAGTCCTGTTCAATCCAGATTGGAAAGTGACAAAAAAAAAAAAAAAAAAAAAAAAAAAAAAGGTCCGTGGCTTGTGTTGCAGCTAACTGTAACAGTTTCAATATTCGAGATTTTGTGGAGAAAGAGGAGAACCTCCCAGTCTTCGTACTGTATAATGTATTGGCCAAAAAAATGAAATTATTTTGACTATTCGATGACTTTCCCTTTATTTAAGCCATTCCGAATATTATTCCTTAGAAAGCTAATCTGTGTTAAAACACAACCATTTTTAGAAGTTTACTATACTTCAGCAGTTACTGCAACTATGTTGTTATAAACATTCATACATATGCTCATAATATAAGCATAATGATCATAATAAACACGAATATGAACTGACCAAGCGGAACGAGTGTGATGACTTCATGGTTTAATAAGCAAGCAAGCTTATTAATTAAACTCATGGTTTAAAGCATTTAGCAAGACGAAACAAACATTTATTAAATATATAATTCAAAGCATAATATAATAGTTACTCAGAGCAGTACGTCGCTCCTACCGCATAGTACAATCCACTACCTTCCTCTTCCGAGGCTAACATGCAACTCCTAATAAATACATTAACCCTTCTCGAAGAAGAGCTACCTGCGCCAAGCATGCTCTATTGATCGCCAAACAGTCGCCAGATATCACACCCCCGTCGTAAGATTGTTGTTGATATTATTTACAAATCAATCAGCAATCTGGAAACTAAAATCTAGCACTGTTTGCGATCAACGTGAAAAAGAAAAAAAACTAAACTACATACTTTTATACATGCTCTCCTAATTTTCAAATCTCAATTACTATAGACATACCTCAATTTACTACATAACATAGATAACACATTTTTATATATAAACATAGATAAAATCATTTTTTTAACTTCACTTGTTCCGAACCTTATTATTATTGTAACAATTTATCAATTCTTAATTCAAAGAAACCAAGTTGATATTTTCTTTTATAAACATGTTAAAATATACCCTAGTATTATTCCAATGATGACAGTAAAATTATTAAGTTTCTTATATATATATAAAAATTATATTCTTAACATTCCTTTTTAATTAATGATGCTGCAGCATGATTTAAATCCTTGGGAGACAAATATCTAAATTTACCACTTACCTCGAATATTTGTTATCCAATAATTTCTCTATCTATTTCAAATTACATAAACATCTTATTTGCACAAAATTGTAAAATGATTATTAAGAAAAGCAAAGAAAACTACTCTAATTATTAACTATACAAAATGTTCGTGAAGATGAACAGTAAATTAATGTTCAAAGTTCACAAGGTGGGAAGTCTGGATAATGCATCCGCGTTTGACAGTTTTTTTCCAGGGCAATGTTCTATTTCGAGAATTATATTTCTTGCAAAGCTATGGCCCATCGTTGTCGCCATATGATGCGTTGCAATTTGAACGATTGCGGAGCATTTCTCACTATAAAGGCTAGAGGAATTATGATCAGTCACAATTTTCACCGATGAACCGAATATCCAAGGTTCAAACTTCTTCAATGCCCATACTATAGCATAAGCTTCACGCTCTATAGTCGGCCAGCTCTGTTGAGGTTTCGATAATTTCTTGCTCGCGTAGCAGATGGGAAATTGCTTCTCTCCCCTTTGCTGTGACAAACATGCACCTATTCCGATTTGGGATGCATCAGAATGAATGACAAACGGATCCTGCATGTAGTGTTGGGGTGAT